AGCAAGACGCCGAGTCGAGAACGATCAACGGACATTTTAAAATATTTATTTAACGATATCGTTTTGCTAACAAGAAAATTGTTCGATGTTTATGTTGATGTGAAAAATTAAATATTTTTTTATAGCATGAATGTTCAGTCGAGTCTCTCTTGACTGATTGGGTATAATTATACAAAAGCCAATTACGATAAGTATATGTACGTAGTAATTTTATTAAGCTCTAACATTGTAACTGACCATAGCTAGTAAAAACTCTTTGAAGTAAGGTTCAAAGAGTAACTATCACTTCGTTTTAGTAAATTTAATTATTCTGTGAAATAATACAACGTGTGAGGTAATTATGACTTCAATTACGTAATATACATTTCTTGGTGATTATATTATCAAATTATCTGAACTCGGTTATTCACGAATGCTGCTTCAAGCTGTTTTTGGCAGCCCTGGTTTACCTATCAACACATCAAAGGTTCATTAATAAGACACCACTGGCAGGTGTATGTGATGTAAATTGCGTGAAATTTAATATTTTTTGCCAGGTAAAAAATCGACCCGTTCATGTTCTAAACATGTATGCAGACATGCACCGTATAAATATTATAATGAATATGATTATTTTTGAAGTAATTCGCTCCAGGTAATTCTTTTCAATAACAAAAAAGTCTCGCATCTCTTATAATACGTCTATTTTAAATTGTTTTGTTGTGAAAAGAAACACAATTAACTTTATGTTTGGTACTTATCATAATCCTATATTTTGAATTAAAAATTACTACCTTCCTCTATGTTTTGAGATCCATGTATCAAGAATAAATAAATAATATTGCAAATCAATTTCATTGCACGTTTTCGACAGATAGTTCGTATAATAAATTTTGATTGAATTTGACTTTTAGAATTTTTTTATAATAAAATGGTAGCTGATAATGCAAACGAATCCGATTTCTAAAGGGATATTAAATTTGCAAGTACTAAATTGGAAATAAAGTTTAGGGTGACTCAATTGCACTCATACCCGATTTATTAATTTTTTTGCGGCATTTCACGGGTAGGTTAAGTTTACGTAAAAATAACATTACTCAACGTTTTAATTAAATGATAGTCTCGGACTTATATACTTTTATACGTGGTAGAGCCATGCTGCAACTATATTATGGTTGTAGCACGAATGGGTCGGCTCGATCGGGGAAGGACCACGCTCTCACAGAATACCAGCGTAAAATAGCAGCTTAACGCTGCTGTGTTTCGTATGGTGAGTGTAGAGAACCGGAGACCCTTTTTACAGGCATTCCATCTTAGTCCTCACGGGTGACAACGCATCTGCATTTTGATTCTTAATCGAAGATAGATGTAGATGTCTATGGGCCACAGCAACCACTTACCATCAGGTGGACTGTGTGCTCGTTTGTCACCTTTATCCTATAAAAAAAACTACTCTAGTTTAAGAAGAGCCTTTATAACTATAGAAGCCCCTTAACGCGGCGACACAGTTTTCGCGAAATTCGACATTTGTGCCAAACTGCCAAATGCCATGCTCTACATTTTAGTTGCCATATTTTCGCAAGACTTTTTTGAATCAGATTTTAGTTGACACTAATTATAAACTACTTTTTATAAAAAGATAGAAAACAGATACTCTTACATTTTGAGGCCAACTACGAGTAAATGAGACATTAAGGGAATGCTATGTGCTTTTGTTAAAATTGAATAGTTTTTACTGCATTGAATTGCTTGATTCGCCAGCTGCGAGCTGGTGACAAGATCGGCGGTTGATCGAATGTCCTGACGGATGCAACTCATTACGCGGTCGCGTTGGGTGGTGCACACTTACGACAGCGCGCGATGACGTTAGCCCTTATGTCGCGCATATAAACAGGCCTGACTTCGAGTTATTGTTGAACGCGACTGGAGATCCCGCACGCATGATACCAGCGACCATTCAAAACACACCTTAATACGATTTATTTATGGTATGTGCTTAACTCGAGGCCCAACTTTATCGCCGCTAGCCGCTCGCGCTGTACCTCCGAGAATTTTATAGATCCCATGTATTTATTATTATCAAGCTGCTGTTATGGGATGGTTGACACTGCGTGCGTGTTTTATGGAAGCCAATATTTCTTTCTTTCACTCCCGCGTTTTATTACACAGGTTGCAGGCGCTCCGTAATAAATCCCGAGTGCTCGTTACCCGCTAAGTTACCCATCGTTTAACATAATATTTAGAAATATAATAGTAGCAACTGTAGCGCAACGAATGAGGTCCAATCGTGTTAGGGCAGGCCAACAAATTGCTGTTCGACGTTATCTTATCTATTACTTGTTTGGTTATCAAAATTATGAAACTGCCGTTTATAATATTTAAAAAAAAAAGAAATTAAGAAAGGCGAGGTTATAAATGGCTGCCGCGAGATGTTATCGCAGCGTGGCCGGCAGGAAGCGCTTCGGCCCATTTAGGGGTGCATTAAAATCGAATACATCATATTTGTTTGATTTCCTAGTTCGCGTTTCACCCTGTAATTATACAAGTCACCGTCCGTGTCCGGATCTCTGGCGGTTTTTTGTCGAGATGCATTAATCATCTTTTTTTATTGCGAGCATGTGTTTTGGTCCCGTAAAACACTTTCGAAGGTTATATAAGCTTTTTGTACCTCAACGTCTAATTTAGTTTTCGGCCGGTCCTTATGAGGTCATTAGTGCGTTGAGTCATTCCGCTGGGTCACTTTGTAGTTTATCACCAAGAGTCGAATAAAGTCGAATATAACATGCTTATAAAATTTGTTGTAATAAGGTTGAACGGTCTTAGGCAACGTCACAACACTTTATACTAACTATATATTTTGCTGCTTTATTGCTTTATAGCGAGTATATTCCTTTGAAATGTACAAAGTATAACGGCGGTCCTAAAATTAAAAGTATTGTGTAATAGAAAACGACCTATTTGAATTTATTTATAAGAATGTAGTAGAATCTTATCTTTTTATTTTTATTTCTTTTTTTTTTAAGTCCACTGCTGTTGCGGAACTTCCTCGATTACGTATGCCAATTTGCGTTCTTCCAGACCGATTTCGGTCACAGCGTCTAGTCTCAACGGAGACTATATTCATTTGCGCAGGTCTGTCCTACACCGTTTTAAGGGAAAAATAAATAAGCATTCGTATCAAAGGCAAAGTTCATCACTATAATTTTTTTTTTAATTCGTAACGGCTTGTCTTAACGGAGTCTAGACATCTGCGTACGACATGGTTATAGGTCATTAGTGTGTGCGCAAGCATAGGTGAACTCTATTCCCTCACTCTTATGGTCCGATGGAAGTTCCATCATGGAACGGCAATCCGACACGATCGGAAAGAGATCAGGCGTAGAACCAACGGCTTGCTTTACCAAGGCTGAAAAGCCACCAAATTTCTGACTACGAACTACTGCTGAGAATTTCTTGACAAGAAAATCCAAAATGTGATACTAGCCCGACCCGGGATTCTAACCTGGGACCACGTCATGATCAGTAATCGCTTATGACCACTAGACCAATGAGGTAGACATTTGCACTACAACAGGCTTGACAAGCGGGTTCGCAAAGTAGACTCTAAAGTAACCCCAATAATTTAGATTTCTGTCACTAATGCCACACCATTTCTGCTATGGCAGATACCCTCGCAATTTTTATGCCAGTGAGGATTTGGCTTTATAAATTGGATTGTGTGTAATTGTGTAATGGTTGTGTACTGAATTAGATAGTAAAGCTTAATGAAATTAAAGTCCTGTGTTCGCATTATACTTTTTTTAAAGTATTGCTTTAGGACCATACAGTCTATTATAATATCCTCGATTAAAAATTTGAATATATTAAAAATGCCGAAGCGCTGTCAAGCCTGAGAACTAAAATGGAATGTCTCGTGGAAGTGTTCCCGGTTCTCATCACCCGCCATACGGAACATACTAGCAGAGTTATGCAGCTATTTTACGCAGGTATTCTAAGCGAGCATGATCTTTTCGCAGTCGAGCCATCCCATTAGTGCTACAGTTATAAACGCTGTAGCGTAGCTCTACCTTGCATAATATTTTATTTATCGTGCTTTAAATTATACTTACGTTCTACTTTTTATACGTGGTAGAGTCACACTGCAGCTATATTAAGGTTGTATCACGAATGGGCCGGCTCGACCGGGGTTGGACCACGATCTTACCGAATACCAACGTAATGCTACTGTATTTCGTATTGTGAGTGTAGATAACCGGAGATCCTTTTTGATGGAAAAGAGACATTCACCTTAGTCCTCAGGGGTGACAACGCATCAGCATTTTGATTCTTAATCGAGGATAAATGTAGATATCTATGCTGTAGATATTCGTGCTCGTTTGATACCGTTTAAAAATGTATACACCTGAAAAGATATAACACATAGTATTATTATTATTTTAATGTGTATTAAATTTATAACTGTATTATGTTGTGTCGATATGTTTTTTTTTTATAGGATCGGGTGACAAACGAGCACACAGTCCACCTGATGGTAAGTGGTTAATGTGACCCATAGACATCTATATCTATCTCAATAAAGACTCAAGATGCAGATGCGTTGTCACCCGTGAGGACTAAGATGGAATGCCTCTTTGCCAGTAAAAAGGGTCTCCGGTTCTCTACACTCACCATACGAAACACAGCAGCGTTAAGCTACTATTTTACGCTGGTTTTCTGTGAGAGCGTGGTCCTTCCCCGGTCGAGCCGACCCCTTCGTGCTACAGCCATAATATAGCTGCAGCATGGCTCTACCACGGAGAAAAATGTAGTGTCTATCATAATAAATAAATTGTTCAGGCGTATAAAATGTAACAGCCGTAAGCTCGCTCACTAACTCGTCAAGTGTAGTGAGTATATGGACAACCCACACGCGCGTTTCTTCCTTTATCTACGTTGTTGCTTCCTTCGTCTATGACGAACGACGATGACAATGATAAAGTAAATAGAGATTGATCGATTGATATGCACAATTCGTTCGGTAGGCGCATGTTCCCGACGGTGCGCGTGTCGTTCGCGGGGTGTCGCGCGGAGGCGCGCTACGCGGTGCTGCTGGACGTGGTGCCGGTGGACGGCAAGCGCTACCGCTACGCCTACCACCGCTCATCGTGGCTGGTGGCCGGCAAGGCCGACCCACCCGCGCCCGCGCGCCTCTACCCGCACCCTGACTCGCCCTTCGCCGGCGACCAGCTGCGCAAGCAGGTCGTCTCCTTTGAGAAGGTCAAGCTCACCAACAACGAGATGGACAAGAACGGACAGGTTAGTTAGTTATCAATCCTTAAGCAACCCAATCTATTTTAAAAAGATAAGTAAAAGGTGAGTCAGTTAAAATACTCCATTACGTGGTATGACTTTGGCAGCTATCGGGAATTTATTTTTTCTTCTCTTATTTTTTTATAATTTAATAAAACTGACGTTGTGATTTCGGTTTTACTATGAGAGCAACTATTAATTTGTACATATGTATATGTAGTTTTTTTTTTAAAGAACTACCGCCAAAAGTTGCTTGTGCTCGTTATATAGACGTAATCCTGTTGAAGATGTCACTTTGTCAGAAACAAGGTAATAAAAACGCGAAGTTGAATAAGTTGTAAAGGTTAAAGGGATGATTTACGTTCCTTCTGCTTGGTCTTTGAATGTTAGCCAGTTGCATGCAAAGATTAGGTTAATAATACATTAGGTTGATCTTTTCACATAATTCTAATATTTCGTAAAATTTTTTTCATATCAGTCATTACATCATAATATACCAACTTAGTGGCTTAAGTTACATTCTTTTCTTCGGATCCCCAGGCTTAGACCCACTCACCACTAACTGAAATCGTTTCAGATACATGTCTCTAATGCTGTGCCCAAGCTAACCTAAGGTTAGGACGATAGCCTTTGTGTTTGCACGTGCACTTGTGTGATATTGTGGTAATATATATTATATTAATGATTTCTTATATTTACGCGAACACTATACATTTAAATAATCTAGTTTTTACGGATTTTATCGCGTATATTATCTGCTGTAAAATGCTAGAAACTTCGGGAATCTAAAACTAGTTAATATACGCAATAAAATTCGTAAAAACTAGTTTTATTTAAACATATTATATTCTCCAATGATATTTTTAATTTTATATTATTTAAGAACTTTTGTATGAAATACATGTATGCAGTTGCAAATCTGTCACACCGTACCCTTTAGCGGTCGTGTTTCTATCCGGTGTCGGTGGTTGTTGGTTCTCGGTATTCCGGCGAAAGCGTAGATTTGGGAATGTATGTGCGTAAAAATACCAAGGGTATTCAAATTTTTTAATTGAATTATTATAAATATATTCTATATTTTTAATAATTCAACTAATTAATATTCTATATCTCTGCTCAGCCTAATGGTTGACTGGGAGAGAATGCCTTAAGGCATTAAGTCCGCCATGTGTACGATTTTTCAACTGTGCATAAAAGTTTAAATAAATAATAAAATATATTAAAACTACTACAAAGTATCAGCAGATATGGTACACTTATAATTATCGTTACAGTCTAGCAGTGGAGCTGCATAAAGTCCACTGCTGAACATAGGTCTCCCCCATAGATTGTCTCATTGGGGGGATTTGCCATAGTTGCCACGCATGGCAAGATGCTGCTGTCCATCATGGTATACGTTACATGCTTTTATGATATAATGTTACATAGATATATTAAAAATTCGTCGGAATTTGGAAACACTTCCTTTCGACTCTAAAAGTCGTTTAAAATGATAGAACTCCGTTGTCAGTGTCAATGTCACTAGATGTACCTCAGCAAAATAGCTAAAGTATTTTTCTTAGTGATGCACACCACTACTATAAAACTAACTAATAACCGCTACGATTCTCATTGGTTTTCTGCAGCTTGTATGCTCGTGGCTAGAAGGCGGTTCCCGTGGTAGCCGTGCCGCAGTTATAGTGCCATATATTTCTCTTCATTATTCCACAGCTTACTAACCCACTGCTGCACATGGGTCTCACTCACAATAACCATAATTATCAATTATCGCCACTTAGGTTCTGGCGTTTCCTCACAACAAGATGTTCTGGGCATTCCCTAACTTGCCCTTTAAGCCACCAATGGGTGATATAAAGGCAACGGATTATCACACGCCCAATCTGGCACGGCGAATATGGCATTGTGTGTAAACGCCTTTATGATACGGTTTTTTCAGCGATGTCGTATTTTATCTTTATCCAACGACCTGTCATTTTATTAATGTTGAGACCTGTCGATGTAGTTCTTAAAATATGCATCATAATGTAATTAAAAGAATTTTGCACTCGTCAGTTCCACGAAATGATGTCTTTTACGATATGTCGATTTCAAATAACCCTCTTTTATCGCAATTAATGACAGTATGTACTCAATATCAATTTATTAAATGTTTGATATCTTATAGATGCGTCAAAATGACTGTTCCTTTTGGTTATTCTTCTCTGTATATAAAAGTCAATTGCTGTCCTTTAGTCTCGCTAAAACCCAAAAACAGCTCGATCGATTTTTGATGATTTTTTTGTGTTTGAATGGGTCCCTATATGGCTTATATTCACAATTAGACCCGGTATATGGCGTCGTTTTTGAGATTCAGCAATCACTCGTGTGAAGCCGGGGTAATCGCTAGTTAATATAAAGTTATAAAACTTATATTATTTTTTAAGATAGGGCGACTTACACAGCGCAGCGATATAATAAATCACAGACTTGAAGTCCTTAAGTTTTTCCACGCAATATAATATTCCGTGAAATTTCGCACTATGCTCAATTTACGTTCTGTCACGTTCGTCAAGACATCTCGCCACATGCACTAATTTTCCTTATGCGTGTGGCAATTTTATAGAATTACGGGTGAAATTGTCGGTGTCGCCGACACCTCGGGCTTCGCGTCGTGAGGCACAGTGTAATGAACGCGTTGTTGGCAACAAATTAGTTGCAGATGTCGCGCTACGACAGCCGGCACCTCACGGCTACTTACCTCCGCGCCGCAGGTGCGACGGGCCGCGGCGATGCAAATGTCACACAACGGCCAACTTACAATGATCTTTAGATGTTTGTATAGATCAAGTTTGTACATCCATCACTAGGTGTCCTTTTATTCTGGTTATAAATTTTGCTACGTAACGAAAATTATGAGTTTATTACGATTATGATTAGTAGAAACTGATGCTATCGCTACCGTTAGATTTATCGATTTCGAAGAAGGAATAAGGTCGAATATTAATTGAATTAATTAATTAAAAACTATTTAGAGTTTTTAATTAGTATCTACATATTTATTAACCACGTTACTTAAGTTTTAGAAGTTTTAAAATTCAAATTGAGCGAGAACTTAAAGAAACGCGTATTTAAGCGTGGGATATGATTGCTCATTATTAAAGAGAAGATTGAAATATGTAATATGATTTTATATTTTATTGGTTGTATTCTATCTATTTTCTTTTTTTAAGTCCCCAAGTTTTCGGATAAAATATATCACTACAAGACTGAAATCAGATCCCTTTTCATTGATTTCTATCTGTTCGTAAAGTTTCAGCCATTACGAAGCTTAGCCCAGACAGACAGACAGAAATTTTAAAATGATTATTTATGTCTTAACATTAACAGCATGCAAGTAGCCTTCTGGTAAGCGTAAAGCGTAAGCCAGTTATTTCAATATTACAGACAAACACTTAAGTTGTATTAATTACGACGAAACAGTTGGCGACAGTTTTTAGAGAACTTTTGCATGGGATTGTGTATCTAGTTCTTTATAGCAAGCTTTGATTTCCGATTCGCTACGGAATAATCGAAAGTTTTAATTTATTAATAATAAAACTCGTATGATTTATGGCGAAGGTTAGTTAATAGTAAAAGTTACAAAATTAAATGAGACCAGAGGTATAACCACTATCGATAAAGGTGACTTTTCCCATAAAGTGTCGAAAGAAATGCCACCGAAATTTATGTAGAAATGTCTAATTAGTAATAAATAATTTGACAAGGTTCAGGCTGGCGTTGGTCACCCGCTTTATTACATGACGCATTCACGCAAGCCACCACCGCACGCGCCAGCTCACCTAATTGTCGAACAAAAACTCCATGAAACCGTCGAATTAATCACCGACCAGCAGCTAACTACATACATAAACGAATAATACCGAAATAAATACCGCATTCATTAGTTCCGTAATTCCCCGACACCCCCAATGGTCTCAACAGTTAGACCGAGAAATTAATAATTATAATGAGCTCGTAGGTTTTCCGGGATTGTGTTTTTACGTGGTAAAGCTACGGCAGCTATATTAGTAGTATAGTTGTAGCACGAATAGATCGCACCGACCGGGGTAGGACCACGCTCTCACAGAAGACCAGCGTAAAATTGCAGCTTAATACTTTTTTTATAGGATAAGGGTGACAAGCGAGCACACAGTCCACCTGATGGTAACTAGTTGCTGTGGCCCATAGATATCTACATCAATTCGCGAATCAAAATGCAGATGCATTGTCAGCCGTAAGGACTAAAATGAAATGCCTCTTTTCTTGTGAAACGGGTATGCTGCTGTGTTTCGTATGGTGAGTGTACAGAACCTGCGTATCTGCATTTTGATTCGTGATCGCGGATAGATGTTGATGTCTATGGGCCACAGCAACCACTTACAATCAGGTGAACTGTGTGCTCGTTTGTTACCCTTACGAGGGCGGCACTGAAAATTTCGGGAATCAAGGAAGTGACACAACATTACTATTTAAAAATGTATTTATTGTTTTTCGAAGTATTCTCCGCGAAATTTGACTCATTTTTCATATATGGAACCAATCATTGAAGCAACCATTCCATTCGGAAGTTGGGGTCTCCAAAATGGCCGTTTTGTAGGCGTCCACAGCTTCTTCAGGTGATGAAAATCTCTATCCACGCAATTAATTCTTTATTTTAGGGAAAGTATAGAAATCATTAGGGCTTAGGTCGGGACTGTACGGCGGATGGTCTAATAATTCTGTTTTCTTGCTCTAAAAACTGTTTTGTTCTGTGTGCGGTGTGAGAACTTGCATTGTCGTGATGGAGGATGATGCGGCGGTTGCAGTTCAACACATGCTAGCATACCATTCTGCATTAACCGTTATTTGTCCCTCAAGAGGAATAGTCGTAACATGGCCGGTTTTGGAGACAAACGTGGCCACCATTTTTTTTGCAACACTCCGTGAACGAACAATTTTTGTTGGCTTTAACTCATTTTCGAACACCCAAACTCTTGACTAGTTTTTTG